TGCTCAATCCTTTTCTTCATTGGAAGGTGAATCTGCTCTAGTCATCATTGAAATATATGGTGCTCTTTCATTTTCATACAATATTCTTACAAAAGTTAAATACTGTATTTTAACTATAATCTTTTATAGAATACATATATTTGTTTTGTTTTGTTCACAACCTCTTGCCTGTTGCTTTGTGGATACTACTTATGTAATTCTACTGGCTATAGAAATTGAATGCAGTTCTGTAATGTTGTCAAAAAGGACAGTATTACTGTCCTTCCATCTTGTATTTCTAGACCATGTTTTATGGAAACACCAGGTTTTCTGCAGCCACTAGTGAAATATGAGGGCACAGCTGAAGCTGAAACATGACTAGCTGCGAATGTTGCATCTGTTTGATCTGATTATTTCGCTACTTCTATTAAGAGGAAAAACTACTTAGTCAAGAACATGTAGATACATGTGTGAGAAAGGAGGGGCTGTCTTTTCAGCAGCAGTGGATTTGTGCTGGGTTACACTGGTCATGAAAGTACAGCACTTGAGCAAAGCAGGAAATTATGTCAGTAGGAAAACACCCTTTTACTTCGGTTAGAACAGGGCTTTATGAGAAGACTTGTGGGTGTTTCACTATAAAATGAAACAGAAATTCAATGAAGTAAAAACATTAGTGTGATTAGGTTTTTTTCTTGAGGTTATTATTAAATTAATGAAATTGGTATAAGTTATGAATCATGCTTCCCACATTCTGTGTACTCATGTTCTCTCTTGTGTTAAGTGTAATGTTAAATTATAAGATATTTCTCAAATTAAGAGGACATTGCTGCACCTTGCTCACTCAACAAAAAAATGAATCTAAAATACTTCAAAGAAACATTGCACTTGTGTACACATCTGTAGTTTTTAGTAAGTGGTAAATCTTCTAAGATAAATTGTGTAGGAAAAAAGATCCCTTGGGTGAAATAGAGATCTGAAAAGCCTTCAGTGAATCATGTGGTCTAGTTACCTTCCATTCTTTAATTTTTTGAGAATTTTGCTTCCTAACTTCTTCTGTACTTCAGTGATAATATTTACAGACATAAAATATGAGGTCAGAAGGCACCTCAAGGATCATCTGGTCGAATTATTCTTGGTGAAAGCACAGCTTAGACAAAATGGCCCAGCACCCTGTCCATGTGAATCTTAAGTGTCCATTGTTGGGAAATCCACCACTTCCCTTGGGAGATTATACCAATGGTCGATTATTTTTATTTTGAAAAACTTTCCTCTTGTGTCCAATCGGAATTTCCTCTGGAGTAAATTGGACCCATTACCCCTCACCTTTTCCAGGTGACTCCTTGTAAAAATGGAGTCTCAACTTTCTTTGTAGTCACCCTTTAAGTACTGGAAGATGCTGTTAAAGTCTGCCCTAAGCCTTCTTTTCTCAACTCTGAACAACCTCAGTTCTCTCCCCCCTTCCTCCTGTGGCAGGCTTCCCAGTCTTTTGATCCCCTTTTGGTCCTTCTCTGGACCCTCTCCAGCCTGTCCATATCTTTTTTGGCTAGCAGGGACCAAAACTGAACTCAGCATTCCAGGTATGGCCTGACAAGTGCTGAAGAGAGTGGGATAATGGCTGCTTTACCTCTGATGGTCATGCCCTTGTTGTCGCAACCCAGCATCCTTTGGCTTTTTTTGTCACAGCAGCACACCCTTTACTCATACTGATCTTGTTGTCCTCTAGGACCCCCAGGTCCCTTTCCACAGAGCTGCTCCCCAGACAGGTAGATCCCAGCCTGTGCTCCACTCCTGGATTTTGTTTCTCCAGGTGCAAGACTACATTTGTCTCTGTTGAACTTCATAAGGTTCTTGTTAGCACAGTCTTCCAGCCCATCCAGGTCTTCCTGCAGGGTGGCTGTCCCATCTGAAGTGTCCACTTCCCCACTCAGTTTGGCATCCTCAGCAAACTTGATCAGGGTACCCTTGATCCTATCACCCAGGTCACTTACCAAGTTACTAAACAGTGTAGGGCCCAATATTGATCCCGAGGGCACCCCACTTGTGACAGGTTGCCAGTTTCAAATGGAGCAATTTACCACCACGCTCTGGGTGTGGTCTGTCAGCCAGTTCCCCACCCACCGTACAGACCACTTGTCTAGACCGTAACACATCAGTTTCTCTAGGAGGAGGCTGTGGGAAACCGTATTGAAAGACTTGAAGATCTACAGGTAGATGATGCCCACTGCTCTCCCCACATCAACCAAGCAGGTTGTTTTGTCACAGAAGGCAGTTACGTTTGTCAGGCACTATTTGCCCTTGGTGAATCCACACTGGCTTTTTCCTATCACGTGCTTCATTTGACTTGTTATAGACCCAGGAGGATTCATTCCATAACTTTCCCAGGGACTGAAGTGAGACTGATAGGTCTGTAATTTCCTGGATCCTCCTTTAAGCTTTTCTGGTAGATTGTCTGCATTGTGTGCAAAGTGGACAGATTGTGATAATATAGTTTCTACCAACGTTGAGCATTCATAGGTATCAGTTTGTTTTCAGTAAGTTACCCTAGCTGCTGAACAAAAGATATGCTCTGTGGTGCAGTTCTAGCTTTTTTCTCTCTTCCTGCTCCCCCCACCCATGCCCCTCCCAAGACTTTATCCTACAAACTGACAAGAAGGTTCTTCAGTTTTGTCAACCTGTTCCACAAGCCTCTATTTGAACTACATTGTAGGCACTAGTAAGAAAAATTAGAGGGATGATTTTACAAAGCCCCTAGATCTTGAGTGGTTTTACAGGTTTTTATCACTCTGCAATATGATGTTTGGTGGCTTTTTTTCTTTCAAAATTAAGCTATTTTATTTTAAAAATCCTCTTTGCCAAAGACCTTAGTTCAAGATTAAAGAGCAAATAATACTTCAACAGTAAAAAATCTCCTTTGACTATCTTCCAGTTAAGAAATGTCCTTTCTTCACCTGAGAGAGTTTAATTTAGAAAATTAAAATATTTAGAAATCAAAATATTGGGCAAGCATAATATGTGTTATTGGATGACATCTGTAGTATTTTGCTGAAACAAGTGTGTGTGTGTCTGAGCTTTACAGTAGCAGTGTCAAACCTGCTTATCTCTAAGAAATGGTGAACAAAGCAGCTTAATGTGCTTATGCTATATTCTGAAAGTTTAGATAATGAGTGTAATCTTATTTTCTAGGCTGCTCTTTGTTTCACTTATTTAGTTGGATCATCTTGGCTTTATAAATTAATTCATAGATAGGTCTTAGCTATACACTCTGAATCTATTCTGTGGGGAAGTCTTTTTACATCATGGTCATCTTTATATGATAAACAATATATAGAGATGTCTCCTATTTGGAATGGGGTATCAGGATTAATTTTTTTGTTTCCCAAGCATTTCTGGGACTAGGTCAGGCAACAAGAAAAAGACTCAACCTTGATGAAGCTTTGGCAGTGGCTGTTTTACATCTGTGTAGTGTTGTTGTGGGGGTTCATGCTGCTACAAGAGATAATGATAGTGGAGTTGTAATCCTTTACTGTGCTTTTCCTTCTCTTCTCTTATATCCATACTTGAATACAACAGTTCTCCAGAAGCTTCTAAAAAATGGCAAATAAATGTCCTAGAAAGCACTGAAATGTTGAAAATAGGTGGGAAACTGGAACCAAAAACTGCAAAAACATCTATTCAGCTGAAATGAAACATGATTTAATCAGAATGCCAAGAGTATCTACTCTTCACCATTTTGTTTACTGCATTAGCCTTCTACATTTCAACTACAGATATTAACATATAACATATATTCTGTAACATATAAACATGATTTTTTTTTAAAAGGATTTTGAAATATAAGAGCAATTTTTTTTACTTTGAGCAACTAATTATTCTACTGGAATAGCCGTAAGATTGCTTGCCTTTGTTATTTCAAAAAAACAAAAACAAACAAAATACCCCCACATTTTTCTCACAAATCTTATAAAATCCAGAGGTCATGTGTTTTTTAGATATTAATTTCCCCCACCCCACCCCGCCCTTAGCCAAATTATAAGGTAAGTTTTACCTAGTATGAAGTTCCTCAGTTTGAGAAAGAAGGCAAGTGAATCAGTGAATTCTAAATGCTTTCCTCTTCCTAGATATTTAAAATACATATTGATTTAATTTAATCTTGTCTTGAAGGAAGAAAGGTTTGGCTTGGTTTCTGTAAACTCAGAAATTTCTGAGAGCACTATGATTATGTAATGACACATTCTTTGCTACAATTCTTAATCAAGTAATAGGTATGTCTTTTTATGCTGTACTCGAAGTGTTACATAAAATATATTTTAATAGCTATTTCTTGTTGATAAAGCACATTTCTAAAATACCAACTGTATTATTAAGATTATCTCACTATTGTAACAGTAAAATAAATTACCGTTTGAGGTTGTTGTTATAAGTTAATAGAAAGAAGCTAAGATATTGTCTGTCTTTGTCTTTTTCAGGAGTGAAATTAGATTATGAATCAAAACATCAATTTAAGCTCTGTTCAGGAACTTATGGAAGAGACGCAGGTTTTTGAGACCCAACCAAGACAACCTTATAGATTAGATGGGAATTTCCAATTAGGTGGCCATCTGTGTAATTCATGGCTGCCATCTCAGAGTTGCTACCCATATTCATCTCATTATCCATATATGCATACAAATTTCGACAGTGATTGGGAAATATTTGAAGCAGTAAGAAATCGGGAACTGGAGGAAGTCAAAGCCAGAGCTGCCCAAATGGAGAAGACCATGCGCTGGTGGTCAGACTGTACTGCTAACTGGCGGGAGAAATGGAGCAAAGTTAGAGCAGAAAGAAATAAAGCCCAAGAGGAAGCAAGACAATTGAGAATCAAATTAGACAGTGTTGTAAAAGAACTGAGTATGTTTAAAAAAATTAATCAAAATTTAGTGAGTGGGAAGGAAAACTTGGAAAATGTATTTGCTTGGAAAACAGAATTCAATTGCTCAGAAATACCTTATATTAAAAAAGACCTAAATCAGCTAATATTACTGCAACGAGAACCTGTAAAAGAACTGAGGAAAACCAACAAGACTCCTGGGGTAGAAGACACAAAGAAGGTAAAGAATGGGGATTTTTTTTTTTTTTTTAATTTGTGAAGAAGTGGGAAATTATGGATGTGTATTTAGAAACGTGATTTTTCAAGGATTTTGACCAAGATACTACTTCAATACTACTTCAATAGCAAAACCACTTTTTTTCACTCATCTAAAGTTCCTGATATAGAGAAATAGAAAAAACAATTCATACCCTTCAACTATAGCTAAACATTTAAGTAACAGAGTCAGACTGTTATGTCCAATAGCTTTGAGTATTTTTCTGACTTTCTCTCATGTTTTAAGGTAAGAGATCACCTCTGTTATATGAATTCTCCACGGTTTGTATACTTTTATTTTTACCTCCAAAAAAGCAATGTAGGTTCTTGGCTTCTAAGATAAAATCATTTTGTTCTCCCTTAACACAACTTCTACAATGTGGGAAGACATGAGGCAATTTCTTTTGCAAAGTTGCAAGATTTTTTGTTTGGTAAGGAGAGCAATTAAGTTGTTAGGCAGAATTAAACAATCAAGTATGGGCATGGTTTAATACAGCTCTTAGTTCTATACAAAAGAACCAGTTATATTCATCAAAATGGAACTATTTGTTCATGTCTTACCAGTTTTAATTCTGTGTCTTGGCATGTATTATATAGTCTTCATAGAAAACACCATGTTAAAACTATAATTATTATTTGTCTGAGAGATAGAAGTCATTGTAGATGTAGGAAATTTTTTCCTACATTGTAGGATGTAGGAAATTTTTTGCTTCTATTAAATGAAAATAGTCAGGATCCTAGGTCTGAATATGTTATGTTCAGAATCTTCACTCAGTCTGTAATGCACATAAATTACATTATACCCATTTGAATTAAAACCAAAACAACTATAGTGTTAGTATTGAGAATAAATTTGGCTAAAAATGACATGCCTTTCATATTTTTGGGCAGACAAGTGGGCTATAGGAAGGAAATGATGCAAAATATACTTTAATTGTTTCTCTTTCTCCTTAGTATAAAATAATGCACTACTTGAAAACTGAAACTTTATATGTGAATGGAACACAGTGTTTTATTTTCAGCAGCTTCCAGTATTTTCTGATGTAGATTTCAGGCATTCTTCTAAGAGCTCAAAAGTGTGTGTTCACAGAGTGGTGTGAAATAAGACTGTTAGTAATCTGCTAAAATGAGATTAGTTTTTAAACAAAATTTGCCAGAAGTGATAAAACTTAAATGTATTTCTAATGTAAATTATTGTTTATAAGAGAAGTTCAGTCTTTTTAATAAGTATGTAATTTATTTTTAATTATCTCTTTCTAATTGTTATTAGTTTTGTTTACATTTTGCATGCAAAACATGTATCTTAGATATTATAGTGTTTTTAGTTACTGAATGGGATCCAAATCTGTATGTTATACAAGTAACTTCAGTCCTTGTACAAAACTTGTGTGAGTCCATCAACTGCTTCAACATGATTTACTTTAGGAGTTTAAGAGTTTTCAATGTAGAGTTCCTCAATATATTATTTGTATGCATAATTTGCATTCCTGGTTTTGTTAATTCTAGGATTCTGTCTTCACTGTACTTACAGACAGCTAATAATAATTGGAATCTATTTCTTTAGTGAAGATGCACTAGAAATATTTCAGATATGAAGCTTGTCATAACTGAATATGTTACAAAATGACAGTGATACACCTATAATAACTTTTTGCACATTCTATACATATGCAGTGCAACTATACAAGATGTTACTTATTCTCTTTTTTTCTCCTGTATGACTCAAATGTTTAGAGATTTGATAGGCCCTGCAGAAGTTATGTTAGACTTTTTCCTTTATTAATATTTTTTCTTGGCTGTCATATTTTTCTGTTTTCTCAGGATGTAGGGATAATCAAACCCCAAAACAATCACAATAAAAAAATCACTTCAAAGTCTCCTGATTACTTTCCCAATGGAGTTCCAAGCATCTATGTGGAGGAACCTAAAAAAAATTTGGACAATACAGCTAAGACAACAGAGAATGATTTAATACATGTTTCTGTCTTGCATTTGCATTTGGCTGAGATGCAGAAAATCTTACAAAAGGAAAGAGAGTAAGTGCAAAATATATGCTAATCTGGGAAATTTCTATTAAAAATAAAGGTGCTTAAGATACCTTCTAAAATAGAAATAGTGTTATTTGTCTTTTGTACCTCATATGTTCTTATTTCTAACCTTTGTTAATTGGTATTTAAAAGGCTTTGATAAGAATTCAGAGAGAAAATTCAGGATAATGACTTTTTTTTCTTAATATTACTGAAATCAATGTTTCCATGTTTTGTAAACATTTCACAATGGTGTTTATTGTTTTCCTTGGATTTTCTGTCATTTAAATAAGAAAGTACAGTTAATTAAAACATTATACTTACTAGCAATTTGTTATCAATACAGTGGTATCCACTGTATATTATGCTCAGTTATTGGAGTGCATTTTGCATAATAACAATTTTTCATATACTCTACCAGCAGACTTTCAAACAGTCTGACTGCAGAATGACTAAGGCCATTTTTCTCCAGTTGATATATTTAGGGTCCTAGGTACTTAATTTTTGAATAGCAATCACAGCATACTATATGCATATAGAAAACTTTCCTTTTAGAAAGGAGGTAATTTTTCAACTCCTATTATTTAGTGGCTCCTTAAATGAAATTTTAATAAATCCTGGTTCTATCTCCTGGTTTTGTTTTTTCGGTCATGTGCCTCTCTAGCTAATTTGATACTGTACTTTATAGAGACAGGTTTTGACATTATCCCTAGATATATACTCACTCTGATATACAGTAATAAATTTACTGGCACATGGTGAGAACTGGGGCATGTCTACACCATGCAACATACGACAGTGCCAAACTCAGGCAGCAAATGCTCACAGAGGAGTGATTTCCACATAACAGCAGTATAACGACTCCCTCTCTAGGTCACTTTGGTCAACATTTCATAGAATCATAGAA